AGGTTCAAATCCTGCCCGTATCAGACGACGACACGTCATGCGATGCATGCGCATGTCGTGCACGTGCATGGTATGTCGTACGTATGCAGGTATGTTGATTGCAACATCAATACCATAGTCACCTGCTGATTTATTTAGGCAAGGAATTCCTTGGGTAGTTCGAGCTACCTAATGCGGCATATTGGGGAGAAGTCAAACCTGTATTCTAGGCATGTCAATTGCAAGCTGACATCGACAACAGAAGGCAGCAGCAGGCAGGCAACCAGCCATCTGTAGTAGCCATCCCTTATTATTGTAGGCAAATGAGTGATCACATCCATAGATGTGGATGTGATCAGTTGGCCAACTGTGCATGCATATGCCGTGTAGCAGGCCGACAGGAAGGTGTTCAACCGGTTGAGCACCTATACCTAGCTAGGTACCAGGCCTGATCATGATACCAGGCACAGAGGGTGGTCAAGCAGAATTGAGGATTTAAGGGTTTGGGCACCCAGTCATCTGCAGCTGGATGTACTAGCCATCCCTTACCCTTAGGTGAATGGGTGATCACATTTTCTTTATTCAGCCGTGAAGCAGGCTGAGAGAAAGGTGTTCAACCACGGAGTATATATGGTCAAGTGGCAAAAGTAAATATCAAGATATGTGGATAGTAAGAGTCAGGAGACATAATAACAAAGGAATTTTGGTGCTAACACAGTCTTGAACTTCAAACACCAGTATAGTGATATTTAAAGTGTCTGGCCTAAGCACCTCACTCTGGGAAAGGTTTTCACCCGTAAATTCATGTTTACCCGTAATCACGTGGTCTTCACATGTAATTACCGGCCAAGAAAATTTGTACACATGCTTATTTTTAAGTTGCCAAAGCATTCCTTTTATAAGGAATAACATAGGTGACATTTTGTTGGTTGCCCGTGCTGGAAGTCATCCACAGGTTACATTACCCGTAATCACAAGGTCTTGACCCGTAATCCCCCAAGCCGTAATGCACAGCACCCGTAAAATTTCACGGGCTTAATTGCGACGAAGACGTTTTATGCGTGTGTGTGTGTTACATGGTTGGCGGTGTGTGACCCCATACCTGTAAGACTACCCATACAAGCCAAGGGCCCAAGGGTAATACTACAACGCCTAANAGCCACGGA